AACCACAAATACTTTAGTATGTTATCTCTAACAGATAAAGGCTTAAACACAACAAAGGTAGTCACTATAATTCCTTAATATCATCTGATATCCAATCCATCTTAAATTTTTCTCTAAGTGCCTTGAAAAATGTCTAAGTTCTTTTTGTTCAAATCAGGATCCAAACAAGTCCTTTAAGTTTCTCCAATCTTTAAGTCCCATCACCACCATCTGTACTTTACACCTTAAAATTAATTGAAGAAACTGGATTATTTGTCCTATGGAATTTCCCACATTCTTGATTTAGCGTGTTATTTAACACATTCCTCAATATCCCGTGTTTTTACAAACTAACTGTTAGGTGTAGAGGCTTGATTAGATTCAGGTTCAATTTTGTTTATGTGGGGCAATAACTCACCATGGCTGGTGTTGGGTTCTTGCCATTACAACACATCGCAGGCATGTAACATCTGCTTGGTCTTTTTTAGTAACGCTAAGATTAATCACTGAGTTCAGATGTTATCAACCTGAGCCATCCAAAACATTTTCCCATCAACTTTCACCAAATACTTTTAGCAGCCTAGATCCATTATTTCACTAGAAGTGACAAAATGGTGATTTCTTAATCCTATCATTTCTCCGGCATTTAGCTATGATTCTTAAGTGAGGAACTTTCCCTTATCAGGTTAACCTGATACACAAAAAAGGATAAATGCTTCATTTTTCCAGTTAGCAATTTTCAACATAATGTGTTGGTGGCCTAGTAACCTCCAAAGGTGACCAATGTATTTTTTTTTTTAACTGTCATTATGACCTCACGGATTTTTATACATTTCAATCCACTATTCTTTTTGATGCTCCAATTGTTCCATCTTTGGCCAATGGGAACCCCTTCAAGTTGGTTCCTGGGTCCTTTTGACATGACCTTACTCTGATTACTTCCTTGTTTTCAGACACAAGATGTTCCAGACTCATCTTGTCCTTTCCTTGCCCCTTTTAGTGGGACAGTCTTGCTGCTAGGGTGGACCTTACTGCTGGGTTTTGATTCTTTCTAGGTCTTTTCAGTGGACAAAGCTATGCAAAATGTGTTTTTCAGAAAGAGAAAAATAAGTTGGAGTATTTTACTGGTATTTCCAATTGAAATATACAACTACAGGGGTTTTACTTGATTTTATTTTTGTATCTCTTTTCTCTTATGATGAAAATCTTGGCTCTTAATTCCATTGACATAAATATTCGCTTTGTCATATATAAAAATACACACGGTTTCAAAATGACAACACCAATATCATGCCTAAAAATAAAAGTACTGAATGCAGTTTAAGATTTCTTTGTGATTCTTTGGTTTGTAGAATATATTCCATTAGGAAAGTGCAGACAAAATGCTGGGCTTTAAAGTCACTTGAAATAATTCTTCTATGTGTCGTTATACTTTCAACTTGATAGTTAAGTTTTAGTTTTAAGAGCTGCTTTTTTTTAAATTATAGAAAACACAGCATCCCAAAGTAAAAAGTGTAAAACAAGATACAGATCTAGTTGCCATCCCTGTCAAGCTCCCTACAACCACTACCAAGGGAATTATTTATTAGTTATTGGTATAACTAATTCTTCCATTGCATTTAAAAAAGAAAAATAAAAGCAAATGCATATTTGTTTTTTCATTCATCTCCTCTTTTACACAATAAGTAGCACACCATACAACCTATTCTTCACTTCCTCTACTTCAGAGATAACTCCAGAATAGTACTCAGAAATAGTCCTCATTTCTTTTTATAGCTGTGCAGTATTCCATTGATGTACCACAGTTTCTTCATCAAGCCCTCTCAGATTTGGGTGGCTTCCAACCTTTAGCAGTTATAAACAGTGCTATAATGAAGATCTTTGTATACACCATTTCATATTTTTGCCAGTGCATCTCAGGTAGATTCTTAGAAATGAGACTGCAGGTTGAAGGATACACTCATATGTAATTTTGCTAGTTATTAACAAATTCCATCCATAGGAATTTGCACTTTTCAGAGTGCCTGTTTCCCCACTGTCTCACCAACAACAGAGCGCATTGTGTACCTTGGATTTTTCCCAATCTGACAGGTAAGAAAATGTGTCTTGGCGTCTTGGTAGTCTAAATTTGCATTTCTCTTATTATGCATATCCTCATATGTTTGAGGGCCATTTGCATTTCCTGTGAACTGTCTGTTCATATCTTTTTGCCCATTTTCCTTTCAGGTTCTTCTCAAAGTTTAGGAATTCTTCATATATTAGGGTTATATTTACCTTTTGTTATAAGTGTTGCAAATATTTTTGCCAGTTTATTATTTACTTTTTAACTTTGCTTTTTTTAGACCACCCCAAACTCTTATTTTCAGTTAAAGATACAAACTTTTCCTTTTATTGCTTCTGGATTTTCAGTCATAGGAAAGTTTTCCTCACTCTCGGATTATAAAGAAATTCACCAATGTTTTTTTCTAGTTATTTAGAAGGTTTCATTTTTATAATTGGGTTTCTGATCCATTCAGATTTTACCCGTGTGTATAGTGTGAGAAACAGATTTAATTTTATTTTCTTCCATACAGTGAAGCACATTTATCTCAACCCCATTTTTTAAGTCTTTTCCTCCATTGATAAGATGCTTCCTTTATCATATACCAAATTCCTGGATTTTCTCTATACTGTTTATAGTATGCTATGATATCTGGTAGGGTTATCCCTCCTTCCCCACTGTTCTTTTCTAGTGTTCTTCTGACTACTATTGCTTATTCTTTCCAATACCTTCATACAGGGAAAAACTTCTTGTTTTATTGGGACCTAGTATACCCTTTAAAGGATAAAAATATATATATAAATGGAGACATTTCAAAAGTGTTTTCTAAATAATATTCTAAAACCAACTCTAGGCAAACTTGTTTCTGAAAATTAGTTTTAGAAGAAAACAGAAACCACACTAAGGGATGTGTGGACAGAGGTAGAGCCACATATGGAGGTCACAGCACTGCAGGACAGCCCTCCCTCAGAACGCCAACAAGCGTTACTGAACGCTCACTGGATCCATGGTCCTATAACAACTAGTGTAAACAGACTGGGCCATACTAGAAACTCAAGAAAATATACAGCACTATCACAGTAAAATTTATTCCGTAAAATAAAGTTAAAGTACATTGTGCATAATTTAATCAACTACTCTAACAGAATTTTTTTTTTTAAGAAAACATTTAGCACCCATATATTTTCAGGAATTTGAAGACTGTGACCTTCCCTGCTAGTTCAATCATCACAAATTACATATACTATAGCCCAAGATAAAATTTAACTTTTAAAAAGAATTATGACAATATTTTTCAAATAAAGCAAAATCAGTCAGTGAGAAAATAAGTTCCACCTGACAATTGGGTACATCTTTTTTCTGAATCACCTGGCACATCTGTGGCCAGAAACCCCATTTACTAAGTAAACCTAGTAACTTCCCTCCAAGGGCTGGGACCAAGTTTGCTGCACAGAAACCCTCCTGTACAAGTAAAAACTGTCATATGCTCAGCAAAGAATAATTAAGAGAGACTGGAGAGTGTATCAAATTTGTGTGTCAAAAAATATAAAAACATTATGCAAATTATTTGTACCACTTAGAGGTCTGAATCTGGCCATCCAAGATACTAACTAAAAAGTAAAGGCTACTTCTGTTCTTAAAGTAGAGAAATCTGACAACATATCTTGGCTCTCATGTTACCTTTTGCACTAATCTAGTTAATCTGATGAGTGAGACAAATTATTCACTGGGAAGCTATTTTTCATGCTTCAGTATAATTTGCCTATTCTTTCGTAAGGGAGATAATGTTGAAAATAGAGCATTTGGTCTTTCTGGCAGTTAATCAACAGTGATACAACCTTACATTTCCTAACAACTACAAATTTCCTAATTAACCATTTTAAAAATGCAACAGTCAAAACCATTAAACCATTATTTGCTCTAGTTCACTGTTTTTATTTACATAACCACCTTTCTCTTAGACAAGCAATGCTAGCAAAACATACGGCAAAGATGCCTTGTGGGTGATCCTATTCAATTTTCTTTTTCAGAGGGTATTCTCAGCAGCCAGTTACCACAGGGAGATTTTTCAGTTTCAAAGTAAGTTTTCCTCATTTTCAAAAAGGAAGAAAGTGCTACACTTCATGGTAATTATTGTCAAATAGTTCAATCAACTGTATAGAATTTTTGTAATATAACTTCAAGTATGTAAATTATTTAATTAACACAAAACTCTTAAAAAAAAAAAAAAACCCAAGTGCTAGCTCATTTCTGGTGCCATGAGATGTAACAGCACCACCTATTTTTACATTTTAGTGGTAAAAATGTAATCCAGTTTTAGCACCCATCTACGAGAGTTAGATGTTAATGAAATATATGATTTGGCTTACTGGAAGGTAACAGTCTTAATGTCCCCTCAGTGGAGAAATCTGCTCTTTTAAAAGCTGCATCCTGGTTCACAAAAGAATACTAATAGGGGTTGGGGGGTGAAGGGACAGACTTCTAGTTAAGGCTTTTCAGTACTTGAATCTCTTAAGTATTAATGTCATACTTCCCTGGAAATGGAGAATTATATCACACACAGAAGATTCCACAGAGTTATGCTGATGCAGGCTTGTCAGGATGGATCACACTTAAACTGCTGAATATGGCTTTGCAGCCTTAAAGAGAGAACACAGGAAAATCAGAAAAATTAATGCTAGTGATCAACTCCCATCTTTTTAACCAAAATGCTGTCTCATCACTCCATTTCAAAAATGAAGTGAAGTATTCTAAACAAGCGACAAAGTTTTACATAAAAACACACTGAATTTTGATTAACTATATCAGTTATCAGATATGGTAAATACAAGCAAAGAAAATAAAGTGCACCTTTACAGTATATAAAATAATAGACCCAGAAATCACCCTTTAAAATTGGCAATATAGAATGCAATACAAAAAGTACCTGACATAGCAAAGTTATACAGAAATGAAAAAAATTTCAGTTGAAAAATTATAATTTTTCAGTATAGCAGAGGGACAAATAACCTTTATTAAAGCTATTAGATTTAAAGACTCTTGTATATTTCGATTTTGTGTAGGAGAAAAGAAAGCCATTCTTCTAGAAGGCATTAACTGGTTTAAATGTACAAGCAACTTCATAAAGAAAACATGTGCAAAGTACAGTCAAGAAGACTGCCTGGTTCTTGTGTTGTATTCCTTCCTCTTCACTGTAGACTGTGAATTATTGCTGAGGAAGTGTATCAGTCAGCAGGTTTTCCCACATCATCTTCAGTGTGCTCAGTCCACAGTGTCACAGATCTCCTTTACTTTCTGGTTGAAGTCTTCTGGTTGATCTGCATACACATAATGCCCTGCACCAAGAATGGCCTGGGAAAGGAAAAGCAGTCAGATGGTCAGTGAGTAAAAGCATTTAATAAAACGCAATGACATAAGCAAAGACACTTAGCATTGAAAGTGAGAACAGCTATATATAAAGAAAACATAAAAGAAAAAGCAACACTGATCTGTAGTAACTATTATATTTTTCCATCAAATAAAGGATCTGAGAATAAAGAGAAAAATCTATTGAACCTCACTAAAATTTTAATATGCAAAAAAAAAAAATTCTAAATTGACCACTAATGATAGGGCCAGTAGATAAACTGAACAAAATGAGAATGTGCTCCTTGTGAGGTGGGAGCTGGTCGAGGTGCTACAGGACTCGTCCCTCTTTCAGTCTCTCCCACCTGAGAGATGCTCCGGCTCTAAGGACAGGCAAGACCCCTAAGAAAGGCGATTCACTGTCTGGACATGAAGATCTGTGTGGGTCAAACCCTGCCCCTATCACAAGTGATATCAGGACTCTGACTGAGGCTGCAGGTTTAGCTCAGATGTGAAAGCACAGGGACAACCTGAAATCTCATTGAAGGCAAAGATAATAGAACAGACTTCACCTACAACTGAAAAGCAAAACTAAGCCACACACTTACTATCGTCTTCACATATGAATGTGGTCGTAATGACTGGATGCTGGTACCAGAATTGCCATCTATGCAGGATCGGGCGCCGTAGATCACTGAAACTGGAATGTCAGGGTGCATTTTCCCAATTCGCTGGAGCATTGGCCTTTTTGCCCATCCATAAGGAATAGTCATATTTTTGAACGCTGTCTCACCACTTAAAGGAAAAGGAGAAAATCACATGTATTACTTCTGGGGATGAGTATGTATCACACTCTCACCTCTATCAAAACACCCATATTTAGCTTCTCCCCCATTTAAGAAAAACTTCAGCTTAAATAGAAAATAATTTAGTAGAAACTGTAAGGAACAAACCCCACAGAAGATATACACTTCTGTATACACCCCACAGACAATATATGCTTTTGTTAGGTAAACAAGGATGCTTCAAACTCCAGTTGATTAAAAAAAGTCATCATCTTCGAAATCAAAACATGCAACCCTAACCCCATATCATTGAATTATTAAATTTCCTGTGGGGATAGTTAAAACATGTTTTTTCACTCTATCTTATTTCAAATGTAGAAGGTAGCTTTTCCAGATTCATGGCACCAGCTCTTTACCTGCAATGGCAAAACCAATACCAAGATACGAAGAAATTCAGATTAAGTACTCTTGATGTATAGGTTATAGTTTTAATTTTCTGTGTATTATGGCGTTTGACATTTTTAAAAAAACCTTTCTTGCTGGGGAGAGACTGTGCCTTCTGGAGCTAGCCAATTCTTAGAGATAGCAAAGGACTCAACAGGGAACATGCCTTTGATATGCAAACTAACCAATCCAGAGCCTTGCCTCTTCTGTCCAGCCCACATATCCCAGGAGGTAATATTCCTCTGCCTTAATCATCCCAGGGCCAGGTACCAGGCAAACAGAGACCACCCCTACATTTTAGAGCCCACAGAAATTATTCAACTAGTCAATCCTAAACTGTTCACCCTGCCCTGCCTTGCCTTTCCTGAAGAATCCAATAAAGACTCTGGCCTAGACTTTTCCTTCACTCCTGTCTTCTGCCAGCTGACCAAAATCTGGCAGCCCCCTGTGACCCTTCATGGCATTCAGTGATCCACTCTCCAGGACCTGTGAGTATAATAAAATTTGTTTTCTTGGGCTTCTCTTGCGTCTTGTCTTGTGGCTGCACCTGACTGACCATCACATAAAAGAACAGGGAACACTTCGCAAACTCCCAGGATAGATCCATTTTGCTGTCATTTCTGCTTCCTTTGCGGTACTAGGCATAATTCTGAAATGTCTTTTATGAAGAATTCAAGTTCCACCATAAGAAAGGCAACAAACTAGAACTACACAGGCATAGGTAATTATGAAATGTGAATAAGTGAATAATAAAACACTTAGATCATGCAGGAAAACAGATGATCTACCTCGGACAGACCACTAAAAACAGCTGGCAGTCAATACAGTACGTGGATCTAATCCACCAGACCGGATTGCCTAGCGAGTCACAAAACATCAATCTCTTGAGTATCCGAAACCTCTCCAGCCTTCTTCACTCTTGGCAGAGAACCTCTAATCTACTGTGTTAAAAAGACTGAGGCTACAGCTATACTTCAATAGCTCCCATGGCCTCAATCTTTTTAATAGAGTATGTGTACATATTCTCTGCCAAAAGTGAGGGAGGGAAAAAAAAAGTGAGGGAGGCTGACTCTGCATCTAGCCTCTCAGCCTTGCACCCAAGTCTCAATCTCAGAAAGGATGAGGTACCACTTGTATGCTTTAAAATGTGGTCCATGGACCACCTATACTAGAATCACCTGAAACATTTGTTAAAGATGCAGCTCAGAACTGCTGAATCAGAGTCTTAGAAACAGGCCTCAGGAATTTTTGACAAGCTCCCCAATAATTCTGGTGCACAAGGAAGCATGAGAACCAGAACTCTCACCATCACACTCCATTCCTGACCTCTCTCTAGCAACTCTAGGGTCCTGTCTTTCAGGGTCCTCCTAGCTCCCCACTAACTTCAGGCTCTGTTTTCTCCATGGGTGCCTTTTATTTTTTTTAAATTAAAAAACACCTTTGTTTGGTCCTCTTGCTCCCTCTGGCTACTATGCTCTCTCTCTCCTTCTTCTATCACTGTCAAAATACATGCAGAATCCCTCCCCCTCCTCTACCCAACCTTCACCCACTGCAGCATTGTTTCTCATGCTGATCTACAGACATTAAGAGTTGCTCAGTAAAAGAAGGGTATCATCATCAAACGAACTTGAAAAATGCTGCATAGCATTTCCCATGCACTTAGGGGATTTAATACCCTTTGGCATAGTAAAAGGTTCTAAGAAGATCCACAGTACAGAAAACCATCTACTTTTGTTTAATCCAGCACCCCTATTTTTGTAGAACATTCATACTCAGTTTGGGAATGCTGTTTTATTTGAAATTCTTCTTGAAAATCTCTCAACTTCAACCACTTTCTAGAGATGCCTAAGACCAAGACTTCCTCAAGTTATCCAGAAGCACCTCACAGAAAAAAGGACATCTTGCTAATCTCCCATAAGAATCCAGTAAGATGTTTTACGTAGTAGGTACCCCATGAACAGATGGGTAAATTAAGAAGTATCAGTCATTTAACTACTTGTCCTTTTAAATTTAGTCATTTAACTACTGATACAAATCTCCTGGACTATTCCCATATTTTCAAAAAAGAAAAGTCTAAAACACAAACACAGTAAATTTAGAATCATAACCCTTACCTCGGAGTCTGTACATTACAGTGGTAGATGTATTCTGTCACAGTATCATCTTCAAACATTGAAGAATACTTCCGTTTGAAATCAGGCCTTAAACGCTGCACTAGACTTAAACCTATTCATTAGGAAATGAATGTTTTAAATCACGTTTTAATTTACAATTAACTTACAGACTAATATAGACTAAGTTTAAGTGTTTGCTTGTACACTGTGTTATATGCTACATATATACATGTATTCAAATATATATTTTAGATAGAAAAAAGCACTGATCCCAAAAGCTGCTCTCCTCAAGTTCCCCAATTAATAAAAATTAATGAGTGTCATATACTGACTTACAGATGTGCTTTAGAAGCTCAAAAACATATAAGTTAGTTGTCTAAGACTTGTTTTTGTACGAAAATAAATTCTATTAAACGTGGCAGGTGAAGAGAGCAGCTCACATAAATTTAACTTATTAACTTGTATTTCTTCCACAATTACAATACTAACATCTAAATAAAGTAAACTGAGATATATAAATATTTCTGTGGGAAAACAAATTCAGAGTTTCTGCTTGGACACTAGCAATACTCCTTGCTAAGGCCATCCACAGTGGCCTCCACGGTCCCACTCCTGAGGTGAGAGGTAGGGGCAAGGCCCCCAAAGGAAAGAAGATGAAGTCTGGGAGCCTTCGTCTGGTTGTCTATTTTCCCTCGAGGGCCCCCAGGACTGGCCAGTTTCCCTTTCTGCTATCACTGCCCATCATTCTAGCAAGGTCTTACTTCTTTACTGGCCCTGCCCTCCTATCTCTGAAGGAATTCTACAGCTCCATCAAGACTTTTTAGGATGCAGCTGATACTCCACATCACCCCCTACTACCAGCTCCACATGCAAGCAATAATGGGAGACACAGGACATGGCTTTAAAGGTCCCCTCCCCTAGGCATCCTCCCTCCCCCATCATTGTCTCCAAATTTCTTTTCATACTTTACTTTTCCCATAACTGCTACTTATGTAACTGTGAGCAAGCAAAATCCATTTATATTTGAGGACTATATAGACTAAACAATGTAGTTCATCAAAGGAGGACCAGATACCTAAGAAGGAGTGGCTCTACTAGGGAGGGGTGCAAGACCGGGGGCGGGGAAAAAGGCTATCTATAAGAACACTGAGGGAGTGTAGTGTGGTCACCAGTTCAACCCCTGTGCCCTCTTCTGATTCCTATAGTCCCACTATTCTCCTTACCCCAAACAGATGGCACTAGGGAAGGAGGGGCCAGGCCTGGCAGAGGGTAGCAGAATCTACAGTCACCTATGCAACAGTACTTCCACACCCTCACTCACACCCCCCCCCACCTCATGCCTCTCTTCCTTTCTTGCTAACAGAACCTGACTTTTGTATATCAATTAGGCAGCAACACGCCCAGGAAAGCAGGCACCTCGCTCATCCTCTGGGAACAAATCATGATTGATCAGTCATAGAAATTTATTCTTCTCTGCTGTTGGAAGAACTAGGGGTGGGCGGAAACATAAGGGGAGGTCTGCTGGGGCCTTCCAGGGAAGATTTTTTTCCCTGACAAAGAGATTCATGGAGAGGAGAACCATTTTCCATGCTTTCCCTTCTTCTTGCTCAGAGTGCTGTTTTGTGAGATAATGTTTCCTGCCATAGCTGCCATCGCACAACTGTGAGGAAAAAGGTCAAGAGAATCACAGACACAGACTCAAACCCTAACATCAATTAGGTAGCTACTAGAAGAAATGCTAAAACCACCTGTCTCCAGGCTGCTTGTTAAGGAAATAAGAAAAGGCCTTATGTTTTAAACCACTTAGGTATTCAGTTACTTTCACCTAGAAGTGCTCCTAACTGATATAAGTTGTAAGAGAGCAAGGCAGAGGTCCAGACCATCACCATCTGCAACAATAAGGGAAGGAAATTCCCTTGGCTGTGGGGCTGAGACAGAGGAACTGAGAGTCAAATGAACTTAAATTGGAGACTAAACACTGGTACCCTCAAAATATGACCAGAATCACAAATCAGGAGTCCCCAAAATCTTTGTGGAAAAGGATGACTATCTTCTTAACGCTCTAACATTATGGGGCAAGGAAGGAATCTGTGAGTGTGATGGTATCTGTTGTCCCCATGGTTGATCAGGTCAGGCTTTGTGATCTGCCAGCTGGATATCATCAACCTGCCAAATGCTCTCTAATGCTCACCAACAGGTCAACATGCTGCACTTTTCCCAATGCCCTGGGCTAGCAGATAAACTTCCCCAAGACACTCTGCTTGCTTGGCTTTTTTCAGAATGTTCAAGGCCAGCTAACCTCATCCTAAGTATTTCCTGCCTTGTCTACTTTGCTAATTACCTGTAATGTTTACAATATAAAGACTCCTGTTTAAGGAGAGGAGCCTGGTTTCATTCATCTTTATGCACGGACTGGTACTTTTTAGAGGAGGAGGAGAATTAAGGTTCCATTTTTTCATTTGTTTTTTTCTGTGTGTGTGTGTGAGGAAGATCAGCCCTGAGCTAACAACCATGCCAATCCTCCTCTTTTTGCTGAGGAAGACCAGCCCTGAGCTAACATCTATTGCCAATCCTCCTCCTTTTTTTTTCCCTTTTTCTCCCCAAAGCCCCAGTAGATAGTTGTATGTCATAGTTGCACATCCTTCTAGTTGCTGTATGTGGGACGCCGCTTCAGCATGGCCGGACAAGTGGTGCGTCGGTGCACACCCGGGATCCGAACTCGGGCGGTCAGTAGTGGAGCACATGCACTTAACCACTACGCCACGGGGCCGCCCCTCATTTGTTTGTTTTTAAGATTTTTAACTAACAATGATGTCAGTAAATATTCCTCTATTGCTAATCTATAAACATTTTGCTTTCCTAGGACACAGCCATAAGCACTCACCAAAGGGTCCTGCAATCCTGAGGCCAGCTAAAGGGTTAAAGGGAGTCAATGCTGCTCCCAAGGCTCTGATCCAAACTGGAATTGGTCTGTCTTGATCAGCCAGGTCTGGTCGCTCAGGAAAACCCCAAGGCTCCACTAAAATGAGATGATTAACCCTGTTGGGGAAAGAACAGATTTAAGTTTATTTGGCAAATTCACCCTAGAATGATAAAGAACTAACACGATTTATAAAGTAAAGGTAGAATGAACCACCTTCGAACACCTTCACATTAAAGAGAAGACTAATGGCTGAACAGGTTACATCACCCTCTTATTCTATGCAAATTCTTGAGATCTGGCAGGATTTGAGAGGTATATGGTAGTAAGAGGGCTTCATTTTTAATATATCTAAATGTGGATAATAAAGGATGTGTGAAAGGGAATAGGAAAACTGTGTGACTATCCTTGAGAAACAAGAAAAGACAGCATTTGCTGTTAAGCTACAACTTGGCAGATGATATAGATCATCAACCACTCAGAAAAATCCAATGGTTCCATGTATCTCAAGGCTGACACTACAGAAATGACTGAAGATTAATATTACACTCACATGGCTTCAGACACCAACAACAGTTATCTCCTATCTCCTATCCTACCAATCACTCTAAAAATGTAGGTGGCATTAGGACTCTAGGTGGATTCAAAAGGACTTCAAATGAACTTTTCACAAACATAAGGATAATGTAATAATATGGGCTGAAAATATACCCCATAGTTTGTGATTCTAGTTTGGTAAATAGGAACACATCTACCCTACCCATGACATCATGACATACTAGCATTAGATTCTGTTCCTAATCCTTCCTAATTTTCTTCTTTACTGACCAAACAGATAGAAAATCTTCAGTCCCACCTCACATAAAATTGTTTCATATCACTAATAGTTTTAATTTTTCCATCTTATGAAACCTCCATGTGATGAGGGAAAACCAGAACTACCAGCAGTACTTCCATGTGGCTGCATCATGGTATTACACATTATAAAGATCCTGACAAAGTATAAAGGTCTTCCTGACACAAGATGATATTCAACTGTAACCAAAACAGTCAACAAATGCGAGCAAAAATCTCCCAAGGATGAACTGACAATGATTCTGAAGTCCCCTTCCTAAGCCATAACTGAAACAAAAAAGTAAAAAAACCAGAACATGAGAACAGATGGCCTTTACTCCCTATATAAAATGTTTTATTATTTTTGTCAGCACAGATAAGGATGAGTTAGTAATGAGTCCTTTGCTTTGTTGCATTTTCCCAAACAGAAAGCTTCAGAACATAGACCTAGATCATAAAGCTCCGAGGGCCCTTGGAGAATACTCAGCCCAATCTTTCATGTGACAGATGAGAAGGAAGCTGAGATGCACTATGTGACCCACTCCAGGACATAAAGTTAGTTAATGTAGAACTTGAGCTAAAATCCATATTTCCTGACACCAGTATACTGACAGATGCCAACAAGCCATCAGGCAGAAGGCTCTCTCCTAACAATAGGCCAAGCAACGTAAGATAAACATATTAGTAAAGGTAAAGCTTAACTTTTATCAACTCTAGGCCAGTCCTAACACTATACTCTCAATTTCACAGCCTTGAGAAGATTTGCAGAACGTAACTACGAATCTGTGTGGAGATATGTGATACACGAGATTTTCATATACTTTGAGTGCCTTCAATGCTTTAAGTTTTACAAGACTATTTTCTAATAGTGTGTGAGAAGGGGGATAGAAATGAGTTTGTTTTGTTTTTTAATGGCAGAGACAGTCTCTGATATTTTGACTGCCTCCTAAATTCGTCTTATTACAGCCCACAGTGAGATATGGGGGGGGAGGGGGGGTGGAAGTGTGCCAGGAGTATGAGGGGAATTAATGAAATAGCCACCTAGTTGAAAGCAGCAAAGAATCATGTTAGCAAACAGCCAATATTATTCACTATTGACCTACCTCCTAAAGAGAACAATGAACCCTTTATTAAACATACTTTACCTTAAAAGATGATTAAATTTTTGTTACATATTTGTTAAGGGATCTTGCCCAGTCTGGTCTAGGCTCTTACTGACCTGCTAACCCAAGAAGGGGCAGAACAAAGAAAACCTGAGGGAGGAAAGTCTCATCTACCTCTAGTTAAGTGATTGTTTTGTTTTTGCCTTAGTTTTGGCTTGCTTTGTTTAACATGGATCTTCAAAATACCATCTCTAGGTAAAACGCCAGTTTAACAAGTTATGCAAAGTATATATACCAGAGCAGATGACTTTTTTTTCCGAAAAGGAGTAAACTGCCCCAACAACTGGTCGATCCTGTGTCTTTAGAACCTAGCACGGTGCTTAGCACTTGGAAGATGCTCAGTACACATCTGGAGTATTATGCTTTTCCACGTTTCCTTTTGGTCCTTGTCTATAAGGATATACAAATTTTATAAAGTATAACCATAGATTAAGCATAGGAGTTAGTCCAGTCTGGATTTTTCTGATCCCCTGCATGACACCAGAACATCACTGTTAATTTCTTATATTAATCTTGCAGGTCACTACTCATTAGTGAGTAGTAAAATCCATTTAGAGAGTCAGAGCCCGTCTGTTTTTTAATAAAAGTGTATAATTTGGAATAGAAAAATATATCATAACAAGCATGAGTAACTCCACAAAACTTTTGTTTCAGACACACACACACGTATAAAATTCTTGAGGGTTATAGTCAAAAAAGTCTGAAAACAATTTTTTAAAAAGCTCTCCAGCAACGTCTAAATTGTAGTTATATATCATCTGCTTCCACTACGCGTAAATGACCTCAGAAAGTAATTGTTGCTTATTTTTGGTTTAAGGATTTTAAATGAGATAGACCACGCAAAGCACTTAGGTTGGTGGCTATCAAATAATAAATATCCAGTAAATGTTAGCGTTATAGTAGCAAAAATCGGAAGACTACTAGAGCAGAATTTGTTCCAGGGAGCATGGGAAGACAGTGATTAGAACCATGCAAGCAGCGAGTAATTTAACTTCTATTCTTCAGGAAAGCCTGATCACAGGTTTTGGCTCACAGGTTATTACAACCTGGCACCAGACCAAGTTCCCAGGCTATCTTCTCACCTCCTTTTCTAGTGCAAGATTATCTCCTCATCTGAAGAGTTATTTTGTTTTAACGTGTATCTACAACTATTATTATATTCCAGACCCTACCGTCTAACATTCCACAGAGGATAGCCTGGTGGGGTTGTTAATTCATATCTAGGATTAAGGAATGGCTCTAGCCAAACAGCAGATGTAAGTCATCCTATCAGACATCTTTGTCAAGAATCAGAGACTGATTCAAACTACAAGAAAACACAGAACCGGCAGAGCAGGAACAAGAGAACACTGAGGCATTCCTCTCCAGGTTAGTCATTAGAGGAGGTCTTGAGTTTGAAGGTAGAGAGCAGATTACAACCTAAAGAGAAAAGCAGTGGACAACACACCTGCTCCAACATGCTGGGACAGCTGAGTCTAAATGCTAACAAGAGTATAAAACCTGACTCGCGAGATTTAAAGTCAGCCATCAGGCAGAAAGAATACAACAAGAAGAAGGATCAGACCCAGAAGCAAAATGCACAAGAGAGTCTACAGGACCTTCTTGTGGAATAAGGAAAGGAACAAGAAAAAGAACCAGAAAGAACTCTAGTCAGTGCACAAATGAGGCATTCTCAAGATTAAGTTAGTCCCAGGTAGTTCCCATTGGCTCCAAGCCACTGGGGGGAGAATGGGGCAGGCCCGGGGAACAACCAACTAAATACCTCCAACTTCAGGTCAAGTAGAACAGCCTTTCTTCTTTAGAGGGGCCAACAAGAAATGCTCAGCCCAGGTCTGCAGTTAGGAGATAGAGCCAGACAAGGTCAAAAGATCAGATGATCTGAAAACCTTTCAGTGGAGAAGTAAAGACCAGTTGTAACCTATTCTATTGGAACTTGGAATAGATCTCTTTGCTTAACACTTTCTAAGTCAATAAAAGTTTCTATAGTGTCCTTTTCCTTAGTTTATAAACAAATACCTATAAAACACAGATAGTCTTTGTATGGGGTCCTGAGCAGTAGGGGCCAGAAAGAAAGGAAAATTTTAAAAAAGCTAAGCATACAAATGAAAGAAAGGAGATGGCATCTTTGGCTATTATTACTGGCTTACCCTACTCTCCCTTCATTCCCACCTTAAGGCGATCAGAGACTGCTTGATAAAGAAGGTTTCACAGAATGGCAGCCCAAGAAGCCCTACTGTTTGTGACAGTACATTAATCTACGAGTGAAATTACAGAGGGCATCTCTAACTATTACACATTGTGGTAAGAGAACTGAGATAAACTAAGGTCATCTTTTTGGAAGGAACATGGGGGTTGTGCCCCCAATGGAGTAATCTACTGACTAGTTCATAACTTTTTTGCCCGCCAGCCGCATGGCCTTTCCAGAATGGCCCACATGTCCACCTAGCATGGGGCCTTTGCAATGTCTGTCCTCACTGCCTGGAATGTTCTCCTGCTACTCCCCTTTGAGACCTCAACCTCAGGTCAAGTTGGACTTCTTCAGGGTACCATATTGGACCCAGAGACTGGGTCAGGTTCTCATCAAGAGTTGTCACAGCACTGCCCACTTCCCCTTCACAGCACTCACCACAGCTGTCATACTACTTGTGTGGTTATTTAATTTGTATCTCTTCCCGCAATACACCATAAGCCTACAGGCACAGAAAGTCACTCAACATTATTTAAACACAACCAATCTGCTGGAATGTGATGTTAGAGTATTTCACTCATCACCAATATTTCAATGGAGGAATCATTCAGGTACTTTTACATAAACTACCAAAATTGCTGAAAACTTAGTTTTTAAATAGTATCAAGAATCTGGGTAAAATATGTGATCACTGCCCCAAGTGAGGCTATAAAACAACTTGCATGGACAGAGGCACTCTGCTGCTCATAGAAATGAAGCACCAAGGCTGACCTAACGTACCAAAAATTAAAGAATAAAAATGATGAATTTTTTCCAACATAAGAATCCTTCCTAAACGAGCACATTAAATTAAGCATTTTCACTCCTGTCCTCAAACCGTCCTACAAAAATAAACAAAGAATGGAAGAACGGGGCTGCCCATAAAAGATAAGGACAGAAATAGGTATGGATTGGGACACTAAGTCCTAACAAGTAAAAAACTGTTGTTTTTGTGTTTATTTTTCCTCCATGCACGGAAACAACAAAAATTAAGGAGCTGTTGTTTTACTTAAGAGAGAAAAAAAAAAGATTATATTTTTCATACCTGAGGAGGCAAAGAAAAAAGCAACATTCTCTAAGACCATTAGGAGACAAAAAAGGAAAGAGACAAGAAAAGATGCATAGTGAAGAAATGAACTGTATTTCATTTGGTTTCTATTAGACCATTTTTCCCCTCCTCTCACGGCCTTCTCCCCCCTCCCCAAAAAAATTTTTCTCCAAAATATATAAAGAACTCATACAACTCAACAAGAAAGAAACAAACAACCTGATCAAAAAATGGGTAGAGGATATGAACAGACATTTTTCCAAAGAAGATATACAGATGGCCATCAGGCACATGAAAAGATGTTCAACATCACTAATCATTAGGGAAATGCAAACCAAAGCCACAATGAGATATCACCTCACACCTGTCAGAATGGCTATAACTACCAGGACAAAAAAACAACAAATGTCGGAGAGCATGTGGAGAAAAGGGAACCCTCATACACTGCTGGTGGGAATGCAAACTGGTGCAGCCACTATGGAAAACAGTACGGAGATTTCTCAAAAAATTTAAAATAGAAATACCATATGACCAGCTATCCCACTACTGGGTATTTGTCCAAAGAACTGGATATCAACAACTCAGAGAGACTTAGGCACCCCTATGTTCATTGCAGCATTATTCACAATAGCCAAGATGTGGAAGCAACCTAAGTGCCCATCAACTGATGAATGGATAAAGAAGATGTGGTATAGGGGCCGGCCCAGTGGTGTAGTGGTTAAGTTTGTGCGCTCAGCTTCGGCAGCCCGGGATTCACAGGTTCGAATGCCAGGCATGGACCTATGCACTGCTCATCAAGCCAAGCTGTGGCAGCATCCCACATACGAAATAGAGGAAGATGGGCACAGATGTTAGCTAAAGGCCAATCTTCCTCAGCAAAAAAAAAAAAAAAAAAAAATGGGCACAGATGTTAGCTAAAGGCCAATCTTCCTCAGCAAAAAAAAAAAAAAAAAAGATGTGGTGTATATATATACACAATGGAATAATAGCCATAAAAAAGATAAAATCATCCCATTTGCAACATGTATGGAACTTGAGGGTATTATGTTAAGTGAAAACAGCCAGACAGAGAAAGACAAACACCATATGATTTCACTCATATGTGGAAGATAAACAAATACATGGACAAAGAGAACAGATTAGTGGTTACGAGAGAGGAAGGGAGTTGCGGAGTGGGCAAAAGGGATAAAGGGGCACATATATATGGTGACTGACAAATAATAATGTACTACTGAAATTTCACAATGTTATAAACTATTATGACCTCAATAAAATTAAATTAAAAATTTTTCTGAAATTCAGATTTATTTTACTGTCATGACAGCATAATAAAAATGGTACTTGTGGGAGAGGCTATGCATGTGTAGCGGACAGGGATTATATGGGAAATCTCTGTATCTCCCTCTCAATTTTGTTGTAAATCTAAAACTGCTCTGAAAATATAAAAGTCTTTAAATAAAAAAGGACTTGGATCAAGTGAAAGTTGGATAAGAGACATTTGGAGTAGGTGGTTCCGTACTTGCTTAGCTGATACTAAAAGGGCCACTCTATTGTACCAGAGAAAATATGTGTGCGCCACAGGAAGCTTCCCTGGCTCACGTCAAACATTCCAGATCACAGAGACAACAACCCGGACACCATCCCATCTGCTCAGTATGAGTACAACTTGAAGAAACAGCTAATGCTAAATCTCACTTAATATGAGGCTTGCTATAATTATGAACATTTACGCTTGTAGTAATCAATCTTGTTTAACTGCGTTTGGATCTGTGAGTCTACTGAACAGTTCTTTTAACCATAACATCAAATCATCTATGTAAATGAGTATGAATTTGCCCAGACAGGATCAAGCACAAAAAGTTTCTTTAAGGTAAGAAATTAACAAAAATGAGAAACATTAATAGTAATCTGAATACAATGTGGGCAGTGAGGACCATCTGCAACAAAGGAGATGATGCACATACAGGAAAAAATAGAGACATACTTATTATCTCTTTCCTCTCCATTGAAAGAGAAGTGCTTCAAGGAAAGCCATCCTGAAAAGCAATAGAGGAAAAAAGCTAGGGAAAGGTGGAGGCCCAAGACATTGTTACCTCCTGCCTTCCCATACTATGTGCTACACTGGGGTATTATCTGGTCTATAAGAATAAGAAGAAGGAAAGAAATTTTAAAAATCTTATTTTGTAGATTTAACACACTTCTAAACTAACTAAAGTTGTCGGCTCAAATGGCAGGTTAATTAATTATGCAAAATATGTATATATATTATGTATATATTAGAAAAAACATTCTCACTAATATCTTCTTCTCACACATACACACAAAATGATCCCACCTTTATTTCCACTGTAACTTGTTTTTATGAGACACACTAACTTAAGATGTAGATTAACTGGTCAAAAGGTCTAAAACTGAAATCTTTCCTGTTTACACATATATCTGAAACCTATTTTTCTCTCATAAAGAAATTGGAAAGGTATAACATAACCAGCTCCTATCTCTTGATAGTTTTATGCAAGATGGAAAGAGAAAGCAGAAAAAAATAACATAAAATTGTAAACTAAAAGGTGAATTTAGTTACAATTCTCTTTTTCAGATTCATCTATTCAAGAAATCTTTACTGGGCACCCACTATGTGCCAGCACAGTGTTCTCAATGGACTTCATTCATTATCTGGGATACTGAAAATCTACAGAACCTCATTATTTTGAAATTAACTTGTGTTTAATAACTTAAGTTTTATGCAGTTAAGAATCTAGGCTTTAATAGCCAAATATTCTGCAGAGTTCCACTCAATATTTGGCAGCAATCAGTCAAGTGAAACATCCTAATTATTTCAAGCATTCTTATATTCATCTATTGCTAATACTTAGTGGTTCTTGGTCTTGATACAGTACTTTAGTCTGATTTCTAGCATCAGGCACAAACATTCTAGAATCATTGTATAAAAGGTAGTCAATCCAATGCAGGGATCATTGGCTTTACTTTAGACACTTATTCTACCTCCCATGTCATTCAAAATATGTTGCTATTCTCTTCTACAGATGGTTTTGAAGTAGTCATTCCCTCCTGAATCACTGAAGCCCCTTATTTCTTTAGAGCATTTCACAACTGCAAATGAAAATCTCACCAAATGAACTAAATAGCAGATAACCATGAAGACTCAGGTTTCTAAGACTTAGAGGTTACATGACCAGAGTCTAGCCCACAGAGTCCCATGTCACATCTCCAAGGGATAAATACCACAAGAGAGACATAAGAAACACCTGATAACAAACAAAGGAAGCCCAACCCCCACAAATAGCCCTGTTGTCTTATACCAGAAAAGTATCCTTCTCTTCCTTTGCTCACAAATACAGCTAGCTGTTTGTCACTGATAGTAGGACACAATAAAAGACAGTAATCCCAAAAAGCCAACTAAGAGGAAAAAAAATTGGATTTCTTTTGAAAGAACAGGGCTGCCAGTTGACAAGACTATTACCATCTAGCACACACAGGATTATGAACTCTCCAGAAAAATCAAGTGTAAATGCTGACGTTTTAGATAAAGAATCTGTAGAGAAAAAGCTGGCTGCTCTAGAAGAAGAAAACCTCAGGTACACAGGGCTGCTGCTCCACACATCAAATTCTGTGTCAACAGCACACCTGGAGTTATGCAATGGGGCAGCTCACAGATGGCACACATGCACTCTGAAAGTGACCATCATTCACGTCTCGTTCACAGACCTCAATGTGAAAGTTGGTTGCATTTTGGATTTAAAAATTAGTCCAATGGAAAAATACACTGGCAACACAAAAATGCTGATCTTTTTTGTCTTTCCAAAGGATGAGCAAAACAAAAATCAGATTTTCTCAGCACCCAAATGTGACCTCCCCTCAGAGTAGCAACATAAATAATAGGAAATAGCATAAAAAATAAGGTAAAGAAAGGAGATGCTACAAAGATTCTGAAGCAAACATTCATTAATTCAATGTCTCTGAAAAATAATTCTATAACAACAAAGGTTAGGGCACAGTATAATCAAAAACTCTGTAAGATACACTATGCAGGTATATTTTCTGTAGTTTAGAGATAAGGAAACTAAAGCTTAGAGGTTAAGTGATTTGCACTAAGCCACAAAGATAGCACTAGCACCTAGGTGTTCTAATTTCTAAACTTCTGTCTTCCCATCATAGCTTACTATAACCTAGACAAGGTTAGGAAAAGCCTCATAGATCCATAGGTCTAATGATGACAATAACAATAAAATGACAAGAATTTTCACTTGTGGCTTAAATTATATACATTCTAAGTTTAACAAAAAGTCCTTTCTCAAGCCTTCAACCAACGTGTAGCATGTTTAATAGGAAAATCTGACATCATTATTTCAGCTACAAAATTGGCCATCAGTTGCAGCTATTTGGTCTACAGGTTCCTTTAAGAGAATATCTGTCTTATAAAGCTCAGACACCAACAACCACCAAAGACAGGTAACTAGAGACTAGCACTTGGGTGCCTCTCTTCTGTCACCATCACTTACCTTGACGGGTACTTCAGGGAGTAAGCAGCAGCCAAGAACCCACCCAGGTTGTGTCCAAGCAAGATCACTTTGTCCAAGCCTAGGGCACATCTCCATTCTTCAATGGATTCCACAAACTGATTCTCCACTTCTTCCGCATCACTGTCAAATCTGGGTCTACTACTTCGTCCAAAGCCCAACAGGTCAAAAGCATAGACGGGTCTATCAGTGCAAAGATGTTCAAAATTCAGTGCCCAGAGTCCAAGACCTCCTCCAAAACCATGAAGGAGGACAAGTGGAGTCTTATTTGAAATATTATGAGAGAACTTCAGTGTCCATATTTTATTTCCATTAGATATACGAACAAGTTCTTTTTTGTATGTGCAGGGGACATCTAATGAAAATATAAAAGAGAAATTCTGCTTAGCTTCACTAATTCTGAGAAGGGTAGTATTTTAAGAGCAATCAGAAATTAATAATCTAGAAACCATCTGGTATCCATTCATATGATTTTAGTCTTTACTCTGTCAGCTCTAAAAAAAAACATACAGATTTTATTGAAGTAAATAATTCTTAATTACCATATTTCACATCTAAGTGGGAAGATCTAACACAGACAAGTCTCAAGGACCTGTGGCCGAGGTCTTTTGGCAAGTCATGTTAGCTCTTTGGACTTCTTTCCACATTTATCAAATGGAGTATTACTCTCCTAGAATGGGAGAGGAATTTAGTGGTCACTAAATCCATTATTTTAAGGTCTTTAGCTTTGCTGACAGTAACAAAAGACTACTACCTTGAATTTGTAGAACACTTGAAGATTAAGCATTGAAGATTGAAATCAGACTGAAAAGAAACATTTTTCCCTAAAAAGTAATCACGAATTCAGGGAAGGATTAACAGTATATATTAAACACATAACTGAAATCTTAAGTCATTACAAAGTTTAGCAGAAAAAAGGTGACCGGGTATGGTAGGAACTCCTCAGCTTGAGGCGCCAGGTAGTCAGAGTGCAAGTTCAACAATCTCCCTAGAAAATGCAAATAATCACAATTTGGTATTGGGGCCAGCCCGGCGGTATAGTGGTTAAGCGCTCACACTTCACTGTGGTGGCCCAGGGTTCGGATCCCAGGGATGCACCAACACACTGCTTGTCAAGCTATGTTGTGGCGGCATCTTGTGTAAAGTGGAGGAAGATGGGCATGGATGTTAGCCCAGGGCCAGTTTTCCTCAGCAAAAAGAGGAGGATTGGCAACAGATGTTAGCTCAGGGCTAATCTTCCTCCCAAAAAAAAAAATAGAAAAAAAAAGAAAATGCAAATAATCACAATTTGGTAGATAAAAACTCTTACGTACCTTCAGTGCTGTGGGACTAGATACTTTAAATCTCCCCCCAAATTGACTAAAGATGAAACTAATTTGAAATTCATTTACATTAAAATATCAACTGAATAGCTAGACTTTAGATCTACCCCTTAATTATTTGTGCATATTCATCTGCAGTGGCGAAACACTGGAGAACCAGAGCTTCTGCTCTTTTAACCAAAGAAATCATCTCAGGTTTTGTACCCAAATAGTGGCAGCAAAGAGGAAACCCAAGATTCATTCAGAATATTAACAGAGCCCACTCCCCTGGGTGAGGGGAACCTTTTAGAAACCAGTTTAGAAAAGGAGGTGATCCGGCATTACTGCCACGGCAAACCACGTCAACATTTTGAACACAGATGTCTGCGTGTTCCCATAAAAACCATCTGTAACGTCTATTAGAGAGCTCACCCCACTGTATTAGCCACTTGCTTTTATGTCTGATATTGGAGCAGGGGTCAATTCTCACTCCTATTTGCATCCCTAGAACCTAGCAGTAGGGAATCAATATGCTTCTTAAATGCAGGAAGCGAGCATCTAGCACCCTTTTTTATCTTCTGACAAGAAACTTTTTATTTCAGTATACCACAATGACAAGTTTCACAGCTTTGTAGAGAACAAGATTACTGAAGTATACAGAGCAGAAATTCATTTTCCAGTTAAAAAATCCCAGTAAGATGGCTAATTGTCCCTTTCTACAGATACGGTCACTTACTCCTGAATCATTCAAACGCACAAACAAGAAAACTCATTTGTGGTAGAGAGGATGAAAAACAGGTGTGGACACATATCTGCAGATACATACACAGTAATCATGTATGTGAACTATACCACTTAATCCACTCCTCTAAATTGTATCAGTAGAACAAAATTGCACAATAAACACTATTGCTTACAAGTTACCTGGGAATACCAAGACAAGCCAAGTGTGGGTAAATTTCTGTGCTCATAAGAAATAAAAAAAGGTTTTCACACTACTATAAATGTAGAATTAAGGAATCCTAGAATACTAGAACCAGAAGGAATTCTAAGGATCATCCTACCCCCCCATCTTACAGGTAAAAAATGGGAAGCTGAGAAAACTGACTTGCCCAAGATCCTGTTAACCACCTGACTGCAGATGTAGGCCCAGACCAGGTTACCTGGGTATAGTCCAGTGTTTGTTCCACTATACAAAACTGCTTGGGGCCGGCCCAGAGGCGTAGCAGTTAAGTGCGTGCGCTCTGCTGCGGCGGGGTTCGCCGGTTCGAATCCCGGGCGCAGACCCACGCACAGCTTGTAAAGTCATGCTGTGGCGGCATCCCATATAAAGTAGAGGAAGATGGGCATGGATGTTAGCCCAGGGCCAGTCTTCCTCAGCAAAAAGAGGAGGATTGGCGACGGATGTTAGCTTAGGGCTAATCTTCCTCACACAAAAAAAAGCTGCTTGCTCTGGAACACCTAGAGTCTGTTCTCAAAGCATAGTCTAGGGACTGCTGGGGAGTCCCCCGAGACCCTTTTAAGATGTCTATAAGGTCAAAACTATTTTCCTAATAATACTAAGACTTCGTCTTTTTTACTCTCATGATCGATATACAGTGGAGTTTTCCAGAGATCACATGATAAGTGATTACCAGCACTGCAGAATGCAGTGGAGATATAAGAATCTAGCTGCTTTATATTAAGCCAGACATTAAAGAGATTTGCAAACATGTAAACAACGCTACTTTTCTTACTACATTTCTGTTAAGAAAGTAGTTATTTTTAGAAAACATGTTATTTATTTTAACCTGTAATGGGTTTATTACTACTGTTTTTAAACAAATTAATAAATTAACATATTTTAAATTATTCAGTTTTAATTTCTAATATGTTAAATATTGATAGCTATAATCTATAAATAAAGCTCCTTGAAGTCCTTACTAACTTAAGAGTATAACAGGGACCCAAGCCCAAAAAGTTTGAGAACCCCTGCCTCCCCACATTTATGCACTTACTGATGACATGGAAAAGGAAAAAAGTTCTATTGCCAACAACTAACCACAGAATCTTATCTCCAGTTTTAGGGCAATGAGATACATTGGACCTATTTTAGTAAATAGCTCAGTTAACTTACAAGAAGAAAACCTTACATTTTAAAATTTTCTCTTCAGCTTCTTTAAGTTGTGATGTAGACGTAGGGCACCATGTGGGAAGCCAACCAGTTAGCCATCCTGACCTAGAGCATTAAAAACAAAATACAAATAGTGAGTTAATGCTCTTCTCAACTCCCAACTATTACATAGGGAGAAGAAAAGCAGAACAGAAAATTTACTGTCTGTGTGATGGTGAAGCTATCTGTGACAAAATGCACCTAAGAGGTACAAAGCCCTGTGGCAAAGTACTGGAATACAGATATTCAACCCAGCCTATGAACCTACAAGTAGATATCAAAGTCTATCTTCTCTTCATGGATAGTCAGATTCCAAATAGTCAAGCAGAGACTAAAAATGGACAGAACTAAAAAAGACAAAAATGGCACTCCCCCACCCCACTGCAAGACAGCCTCTCATCAGGGTTGAAGTGTGAAAAAGTTAAAGACCCTGAGTGGGTTCATTTCAATGGTAGGTTCACAACAGGTATAAAATATACCCACTATGAGAGTTGAGAGAAGAGAAATCTTATTAAAATATGAGATCTCTTTTTTTTAAAAAAAAGCTTCAAATTTCACAGTTATGAATAGAATATCCTCCTAATACAAATGCAGGGGACTGGCCCATATACAGTCTGCCTAGGGTGAACTGATTAACTGAGGCAAGAGGTGAGGAAAGGCATGGTGGGGAGGTTGGAACTGACACACTTTGCCAGTAGCCAACCAAGGAGAGGGTGAGCCTTCAACTCCTGGCCTGGCAGCAGCAGACCATAGGTTTATCGTAACAATCTGAGATAATGTAGAGTGTCAGCAATCATCTGACAGTCAGCAAGGGCTCAGCACATGGCCAGGGTTATTTAAAGTGAGAACTTTCTCATGAAAGAGAAAACTAATTAGAGGAGGAAAAGAGACCAACTACTGCAGATTCCAGATGAGAGGTAAGAGCCCAAACCAAGGCTTTGGCAATAGGGATAGAGACAAGAAGATGAGGTCAAGGAATATTTAAAAATAAAACAGGCTAAAGGGTGCAAACTTGCAACTAGAAGATGAATAAGTTCTGGAGATCTAAAGCACAGCATAGTGATTATAGTCAACAACACTGTATAATATACTTCAAAATCGCTCACACTAGATCTTAAATGTTCTCACCACAAAAAAGAGATGTGATGTGATAGAGGTGTCAGCTAAAGCTACGGTGGTAATCACAGAGCAATCTATAAATGTATCAAATCAACATCTTGTACACCTTAAACTAATACGATGTTATACGTCAATTATATCAACTTAAAAAATAAATAAACCCAAAAAATCCAATGGAAGAAACAGGTGACTCAATAACTGTAATACATGACAGAATTAATTCATTCCACAAGTATTTATTGAGCACTTACTATCTGTCAGGAAGCATTCTAATCACTTGGGACATACCAGTTACCAAACAGAGGTAAGAGTGATTAATTCTCCTTGAGGCAGATCAGGAAGCTGCTTTTGAGCTGGATCTTCACAGATGAATAGAATATTTCAAAAGGTGGAGCGGTGGTTCAGTGAAGGGAAGGGCATGAGCACATGGCACATAAAGAAGTACATAAAGATATTGAGATATCTTTGTAATGAGATAACAAGTGCATTGTTTACAACAGTTGTTGTAAGAAATTACCACAAACTGGGTAGCTTAAAACAAAAGAAATTTATTCTTTCACAGTTCTGGAGCCCAGAAGTCTGAAAATCAGTATCACTGGGCTGAAATCAAGGGCATCAGTAGGGCCACACTCCCAACAGAGGTTGTCGAGGAAAATCCATTCCTTGCTTCTGGATTCTGGTGGCTGCTAGTATTCCTTACCCTGTGGCAGCATCACTCCAGTTATCTATGTCCATTGCCACACTGCCTTCTCTATGTGTCTTCTCCTCTTCCACCTGTCTGTAATCTCTCACTGCCTTTCACTTATAAGGATACTAGTGATTGCATTTAGGGCCCATCCAGATAATCCAGGATCATCTCAGAATTTTTAACTGAGTTAAGTTAAAAGTCTGCAAAATCTTTGCCATATAAAGTAACATTCACAGGTTCCAAGGATTAGAACATGGACATATCTTTGGAGACAACTATCTTTAGAAACCACTACCACAAAATATAAAGCATAAAGTATGTAGATAAAATATGTAGATAAAGATAAAATATGTAGAAACGTTCAATAAATGGTAGTTGATATTATACTGATGACAGTAACAGTGGGTCACCAACAATTATGTGGCATTAATTAGGAAGGAATTCCTAAAATAAGAGTTTTAACTAAGGTTAGGAGGGAGTTCAAAGAGAGGAATTGACAAAAAATTGTTATTTTGCATCACTCCTTGCCTCAAAGGTAAGGCTACTTGTAGTTGACCTACAATGGGACACTTAGCCTTGCTCCAGCCTTTTACTTGACACTCTAGTATCACTTTTGTCATCTCTTCTTCTCTCTCTGTTCTCTAGCCATATAATATTCCCTGTCCTCTTGCTTCCTGGCCCTGAATATTCTTGGAATATGCATCTCCCTTTCCTTTCATGATTCATTACACCTCTTAGCAACCTCAGATTAGATTTCATTTCCCCTTTATCCACATACACAACCAGATTAGGTCAAGGGGGCAGGATGGCACACTATACTCAAGCTCTATTTTCTTACTTCTCAATCACATTACAAAGTTCTTATTTACTCATCAGTATCCTCACCCAACCATAAGAACCTTGAAGGTAAGGACTTTGGGCTCACCACTGCATTCTCAGTTTCTATTCCAATACCTGGCAGATCAATATACATTGATGATATGAATGAAGTTATTGCTTCATCTGAAATGTACTGGTTGCAATGAATTACAAGGGGATCACCTGAGTAATAAGAGAATTTTCCGGCATGACAGTGAAATTCTCCATCTTAACAGGCAATTGAATTACACAAATGTATGCATATGTCAAAATTCAGCAAATGAACACTTAAAACTTAAGCATTTCCTCATAATAAAATTTTACACCAAAAAAAAAAAAAAAGTAAGAACAGGCTGGATTTGATAATTGGTTATAAAGAAAGTATAATAGAGGATTCCCAGGTTTCTATCTTAGGTGCCACTAATAACGCCAGAGAACATAGAATAAGACTGGGTGTGAGTAGAAAAATGTGCTAAGTTTTGGATGGGTTGATCCAGTATCTAGCTTTTTCTAAGCTTTGTAGGCTCATCCTACTGCATTTCCCTTGCCTACAGAATTTCTCTGAGCATTATGTATAACAGGTGCTCAATAAATAATGTTTGCTGAACAATTAAGTCACTCACAATCCAGGGTATTCTCAGTCCAAGCTATCCCCATTTCATAGATTTGAAAAGTGAGGTTCAGAAATGTTAAGCACCAGGTCCAAGAGTATACAGCTAGTAAATAAATGACACAAGCAGAGATCTGAATTCAGTTCTGAGTGACTTCAAAGTCCTTTTTTCTCAGGTGATTACTTTCCTTAAAATGTCTGAGGAATTGTCATTACCTACAGGATAAAGTCACATTCCTCAGACCTGCACAGAAGGTGTTTTACAATCCATCCACAGCTTACCCTCTCCCCATCTTGTCTTTTGCACCCTGTACTTTTTCAGTACCTCACAACTCCCAAAATTTCACACTATTTTATGCCTCTATGGCTTTGCACAGCTATTCCCTCTGCCCAGAATGCCCTGCCCTACCTTTTCTGAGATACTGTCTCTGATCATGATGCCAAGGGCAGGGATCATTAATCACTCCTCTGGCCCTTGTTTCAGGTAGTTCCTATTGCAGTGGTTACTGGTGTACACACTTATCTGCCGTACTGCACTGTGAGCACAATGAATGCTAACCCCATGTTAAAAGTTATCCTTCTATTGCCAATGCCAAACAGACTACCTGGCTGGTAGCCACGCGAGTGCTTGATAACAGTGTTTGTGAACTGAAGGCTTTGGTCATAAGAAAACCCAGAAGTGGATGAAGGAAGGCAGATGAGGTTCATCTGTATAAGCAGAGAGCACTTACAGTACCACTGGTTCTTTATTAGGAGACAGGATATGGGCAGAACAAGGGCCTGAATCCCCGAAAACAAAACAAAAATTAAAAAATGTTGATGCAAAGAGGTAAATCAAGAAAGGATAATCAACAGCACAAACAATATAGGAAGGTGATCAGAAGCAGAGTAACCCACACTTTTTTTCATATAAATAAGTTATTCCTTTATATTTGCTAGTCAACTTTCTTCTTGTCTCTTTATCTTTAGATATAAGAACTTCCTAGTAAGTTCGATGGCATTATATATGTATTTATGTACATACATACATGTGTATACACACACACACACACAAACACAGGACTAAAGGACAGGACTATAAGCAGATACATTTGGTCAGGTTTTCATGGCATGTGGTTATACTATGGCGATGTATGTGAAGAAAAGAATGTTGGAACAGAAAATACATAATAGCCTGCATTATAATGAGGCTCTACTCTGATATTCTCTGCTGCCAGTTTCAAACCTTCTGCATTAACAGGCTAAGAGGATAAGACCTCTATCCCTTACAAAAGTTACCTATAACTTATTATCAAGGTGTAAACATACTAGAAAACATTATTAATATTAATTAACTAAGCATTAATATTAGTCTATCTATAAATATATACACCTATTTACAAATTAGCAGAAAAGCAATTCAAAGCTTCAACAATGAACTTTTCAACTCATTCAACAATTTTTCAATTGTTGAAAAAAAGCAGTTAACAGGCAATTAAGAGAAAAGAACTTCATGACCTTAATAGCTTAAAATAAAAAAGTAAATTATTATTAAGTTGAAGCTCTTTTGTCCGTGACCAGAAATGGTCATCAAGGTCTATGTTTGGCATAAAAACATGAATTAGTAACAACAGGAAGGTACTTACAACTCAGTCTCATCTATTTTCTTAAACAATTATGCCTCAAATTATAGCACAGTTCTTTGCCAGAGAGCAGCAGAGGTCAGTACAGAAAAAGGAAAATTAAAGTGAAATGAACTATAATCTACTATTGCTCCAACTGACATCATAAACATGTTGGGGCAAAGAAAACACAAATGT